GCTTTCCCCAGATGTTCACTGATTTAGTTTGTGGATTTCACACTTCTGAGTTCATTGCTTCCTGTTGCTTCATTTGCAGACAAGCTGAGGAGTCTCTGATACTTAATTCACAAAATTGATTTCGAAGTTTTAAGTTCTTGGTAATTTTAAGTACTAAGAAAAATGGGATACCCAGAATTAGACGATGCATTTCATTTTGATCTGTCAGCTCAAAGGTTTCTGAAGAATAAATTGTGTTTTGTAATGGTGAAGCATGCCATTAGAAAATCTATGAGAATATTAATAAATCTGCACACAAAATAATGCAGTTAGTAATGCCTGGGGCAATGAACAAAACAATAAGGAATAAACAAAGCAGTCACTAGGTAGGTGTGGTCATTGCTTATTTAGCTCTAAATGTGACAAGACATAATAGAAAATGGTTAGATATAAACAGACCAAAAAGTTGCAGTTTTCTTCCAGAAATCTGTTTTCTAGGAAATACACAATGTGCACTGGAAGGTTAACCAGACCAGTCCTTTCCTAAGCTTGTCATAACTGTCCTTGGTTTTTCAACCTTGTGTGAAGCATGTAGATGTGTTCAAACACAGTTCAGTGTCTTAAATGAAAGCTATTTCAGGGGTTTGTTTGTCCTTAACACTGGTAAATAGACTGAGCTTTTAATCATACTGCTGAAGAATAAGGCATGCCAAATTTTAAAAGGCAGCACAAAATTTCACCCTGCTGATCCGTTTTCCAGGGTGATAGGCTTATCTGGCTCCTTTTAGTTTAGTTGTCAGTCTTCCTTGCAGAAAAATACCCTGGCTGCATGAGGCATTTGATTTTAACAAAGTGGAGTCTATAAAAAAATACTGTGATTCTGAACTTCGAAATCTAGATATCAGGTTATCATATAATATTTGCTTTCATATGAACCTTTGAAAAATTCTAGTGGTTTCTGCACTGTTGGACACAGCATGTGAGAAGCCTTGCTCTGTGATGCAACTCTGACGTGTGCACCTGAAACTGGAAGGTTGTAATGGACGTACAAAGTCAGAGATCTCAGTTTTAAATATGGTGTATGTACAAGCTGTGGATGTCAATGTACACACATGCTCTCAACACCTTAAAAGCCTTTTAAGCCTTTTTTTTTTCTGTACTGAAAGTATTGATTTCCACCTTACTTTTCTTTCTGTAGCTAATAGGGGTGCAGATTAAATACTGGTCTTCTGCAAACTTTTTTATTCTTGCTTTGCTATATATTTCCTACCACACAGTATTTAGATGCATATCATAGCCTCAGTGATCAGATGAAAGTTCAAAGTCATATCAATATCATAAAGGGAAAGCATATCCACGAAATTTCAAGTTGTTTTATCTGTACCGCCTTCCTACGGTAATTGCAGAAATTTTATATTAAGATCTATTTTAGTTGGAAGGGAAAATATTCTCTTCAGCCTGTTTAGCCTGCCCACATTTTTATTATTTATGATGTCTGTAGTGTCTAATCAAAAATTATTTGGCTTTTTTGCCCAGTGCTTATTTGATGGAGAATCACTGTTAATCTAGATGCTGAATCCATATGTTGTTAGCATTGCTTTCACAAAGTATCCATATTCTACACTGACAAGTAATGGAAACTGTAGTAATCAGTGGGATTCTAATGAGCAAAATAAGTTCTTCTAATTATCTCATAAACCTACTTTTATGACTGGAAGTACAAAAAATTATTACTTGAAAGTAGCGTTATCTTAAACCACTGGAGAAATTGAAGAGACTTTACTTCCATACATCAGGTTGCCCATATATCCCAAGAGTAAGGTTCTCCATAGGTAGGAAGGAATGCAAATTATTCTCAGTGTAGCAAGACAGAGCATCACACTTCTGCCTGTCCTTGACTGTTTGAAGTAAAAAGCTTGAATCTTGCCTCATTTACACAGGGGTAATTGGAAGTATATCTTTAAAATCAGCATAATGAAAATGAAATTCTCCATGAGGATTTCCACTTAAAATTTTCCATTTAAAAGTGTCAAAAATATGGTTGAATTGTTATTTGGTTGTATAGTGTACAGCATTTCCAATGGAGCAAAGATCAAAAATAACACCAAGATATCCCCATTCCCATGACTCTGCTTTAATTAAGTCACACACTCAACATACATACTTGTGGGGGAGGATTGCTATGAACATCTAACCTGCACTTTCAATCTCACATATGCTTTTTATTAGCAAAATTGGATTAAAATTGCATTCTGTAGCTTAACAATAATATAATGAACTACAAAACCTTATCTGTTTTGTTTTGTTTTTTTTATTTGCTATAGTTTTACAGTAAAAACTTTGAGCAAACTTTCTCAGGGTTCTGAGAAGTGTTTCTGAGAAGACACGAGGAACAAGTTTTGACTACTGAGGGTGTGCATTATGCCAGAAGTGTTGGCGAGAGGAAGATGACTGTTTTATATAGGAGACTGAATGTATGAAAACATTTTCCTTAGTGAAAAAAGGAATCTACTGGCAGTAATATTGATCAAACTGATAGTCACTAGGCAACAAGTGCCAGACAAAATTTATATGGAAAATGCTGGAGATCAGAAAAGTGATGTTGTTATGGAAGTTATTTATTATCAGCTAAAGGGAATTTTAAAGGAGTCAAGCAACTGTTTCAGGTTTTGGAGTAAAGTCTTGCAATAATATGGCTTCTAAGTCTGTCACTAAGTAATTGTGCATATTTGATGAGCATCAGGCTTCAAGCTTATAAAGGGATACTGATTTGTTGCTTCACATTCTTCATTGATGGAGAATAAATTTGGACAGGATTCAGCTGTTTACAAGAATTAACTGTTGGAGGGATTTTATAGTTACTATCTTTTACAAATTTTAGGCCTTTTGAGTGTATTGATTGATTAATATTCTATGTATTGCCAAGTTGGTTGTTTTACTAAACCATGCAACCTGAAAGCTGTCTTTTCCTTTGACATTAAAATCTATTTCCTAAAATAATAATCAGGGGTATATCTCTGCAACCTCAATTAAAATGCCTAATGAGAAGGGCAAGAAGTAACTGGCAAAGGACTATGCATCTTGCACAGACTCAGATCACTGAGGCCTCTCAATGCTGCTGTAATATTATATATGAATGTATATTATATATGAAACAGTGAAGTATTTGTGACCTTTGGGCATTATTGAAAGGATACAGTATCAGGATAAAGACCTTAATTTCCACAGCCGCGTCCTGAAGTCATTTGTACCACAGAGAATGTTTTGGGTAAGAGTGAGCAAGTGATGGTTTTCATAGGACCAAGGGACTCATAGTTGTAAGACTTCTTTGGTCATCTGTATCATAAAAGGAATGCTGCTTTACCCTGTGTACTGTTACCAAATGTTTACAGTTCCACTGACTAGGCATCTGTAGTATTTTCACTGTGTTTAGTATCTTGTAAGACACTGAACTTTATGTAATATTTGATTTTGAAAGATAAATTATATCAAGGAATTGATGATCCTAATTCAGGGACACTTTGTTCCTCTTTATGTAAAGATTTAATTATTTTTAATTATTTTAAAATTATTTATTTTTATTATTTTTACCTTCTTGTTAAGAATTTATGATATCTTGTGGTTCTTTTACTGCCCTTGGTAAGAAGATCATGCTACTGCTAGTGGTTGCAAAATTTTTTTTTTAATGTGTGTTGGACCTTGTCCAGTAATCTTGATCATCCCCCAGGTATGTGGGGATACACTTTTACTAGTATATTGTGTTCTATGACCAAAAGGTCCTTTTCTTTGTCCTTCCTTATTTTTCCATGCTATTAACAGTATAGTAACGTTTAAAATTATCTTTAGATAATAAACAGCATGATTGTTATCTCTAGTAGACATTTGCACAGTGTTTGTATACTTGTTGGAACTTTCAAGTGTTTTGGCACTGTTGCAGGAAGATATAGAGTTTTTTCCCCACTATTATATAGAAGTGGTTATGATCATGAGATCTTGGTTATCCATGTGCTGATTGTCCAAGTTGTAGGTTAAGTATTTGTTGTTATTTCTAGCCATTCCCAGGCTGCAGCAAAACCTGCAGCCACTGTAGAAAGCATCTGCATTTGATGTGTTGTGAATTGTGGTATAATTTCATGAAGCACCACTTAGCTGCTTCTGCTTTCCAAACTTTCCAAGTATTTGAAGTTTAAGTATTTCTGTGAATTATACCTTAATCTTCTTATATTTTGGGATAACTTTTCATTTTATACAAACTGGTATTCTTCTCCATTACGTGTTATGTTCTTAATAGGTGAGCACTAACTATATTTCAGTGCACTGATTTACATTTTTAAATAGTTCATCTTGTATAATGTTGTTTCAAGTAAAAAGTGCCTCATGATCATGAAATATATCAATTATGAGTAGTATTCCAGCACAATGTGAAATCCTAAGTTTCCAATTCAAGAAGTTTCTCAAAACTCAGGGTTAAATGCATAAATGTACTGATTAAGTATGTTTTTTATTATAAAAGTTAATACAAAATTGTTCAGCTTGGGGGGGCAGATCAGCAGGCCTGGTTAGAGGATATTTGGTTGGTTGTTATTCTTTCATCAATATGAGATGAAAATAACTTCTATGACATCAGTAAGTTTATTCTCCCATAGTCTGTGAGTGGTAATAGCGTATGTGTACAAACTCTCCATAATAAAGTTTTAAGAATAATTCCATTTTACTAGTTACATGGAAAAAGCCTGTGGTTGTGTTAACTGGGATTGTCTTCCTTGTTTAGCAATTATGTACTTACAATTCAAAGCAAAATAATACCATGTCTGTGCTTTTGAAGTCAGTTGCTGAAAAAATGCTAGAACTGATGCCTCTGTCTCCAAAATAGCCAGTTTTCTGGTATTTCACCTGTTAAAGGCTGTTTATCTAACTTGCAGAAGGAATACTTAATTTGGAAATTAATTACTGTCAAGTACAGTAAGTAGTAGGGATGGTATTAGCAAAAGAACCTCATATTGAATTCTTCTGTGTTACAGGAGTACAAACGCAAGTTAGCCAGAGTGTCCCAAGTACGGAAAGAACTCAGGTCAAGGATCCAGAACCTGCCTGATCTCTCACGACTTCCCAACGTCACAGGCAGCCATGTACACCTACCATTTGCAGGAGACATCTACAGCGATGATTGATTACAAGAACATCCTTCCATAACCTCTGCTTTTCTGTGAAATGAGGAGTAGGCCAGACTGATCGGTACTCTTGTAGTATTATTTTTGTATATTGTTGGAGAGTGTCAGTAAAAATACTTTAATAATTTATAAAAAATGGTTTAAAAAGTTGATTTGTTTACTATTTTATTGGCGAGTGAACATAAGGGTACATTTATAAAAGTGGCATGTGTGTCTGTTACACTGAGGAATTAATGATTATCTTATCTTTTGTAAAGATTTTGGTTGGGTGCCCTGTAAAAAAACTTGCTGAGATTTTTCTTATGTACCCTGTATTTAATGTAGATCAACATATAATGAAAACATAATTCTAACTTGAGACATTTCCGTTGCTAGTGAGGAAGCGAAATGTGGAAATCACAGGCTTGTGTTTGCAAAAAGGTCAATGCAATTTAATGCAAAGTTAAAAGTGATCTTACTGTCCATTACATTTAAATTATCCACTCCCAAAACAAGTAAGTTATTTTGAGGTAAATGTTAATAACCAATTTTCTGTTGGAAAACATAAGTCATGTTACACTGAGCAGATCTTTTAATGACTCAAAATACTGCAATATTTTTGTTTCATTTAAAAGTCATTGTGTAGAAACTATACAATTGACCAGTTTAATTATGGTTTGAAATTGTAACTTTTTACAGCTGCTTAGTTTCTAAATTGAGGGACCATTCATTTGTACTCTAATCTCTTTCTAGGACATCTGTCTCCATCTAAAAAGGTTAATCCCAGAAATGTGAAGCTATTTTACAGCTTTAATTAAATTGAAAGGTCATTCTCTAAACTGTCTCAATTGCTAAATACTCATTATTAATGTTTGGCAACGCTACGTATCATCCATACATGAAGCAAGATGATGATACAGCTGTGCTGTACATCCTCTTCCACTGAGAAACCCTGGAGGCCACCATGGGCTACCAGCTCCCCACCTTGACCCATCCCAGCAAAGATTTCTAAATCTTGATCGTCTTTTTCTCACACAATAGGAGGAGACAGTTCAGACCTGTGTATGAGTCAAACAGTGGAAAATTATTGCCAAGTTAACAATCTCCTCTGCATGGCACAAATGTGGAGTTTGTCTACAAACAACTGAATTTGTGAAGAATCCTTGTTAGTGTACTATGCATCAGCTACATATCTCAATGGCATCAAAGTACATTGTGTGCCGGTGTCGTCTAGAGCCTTATATCTTTGTGGGTCTGATGTGCCAGGCCATTGGATCCACACAGTCCAATAGACCCGATTGTCCCTCTCCTCTACCTTGCTAGAGGCAGGGCCCCTCTAGTTCTGGTTGTGGTACTCGTTGCTCTCTTACCATAGATATGACCTGGAGGTCCCTTCGAGAGGATCGCATATAACATCATCACTTCTTTACCGTTTGGAGTCTTGCCCATGAGAGTCTGGAGCAACATTTATCCTTGAAGAGTTTCTTCTGGTAGTTGTTCCTCTTTTCAATTCACGTACCCAGGCTGCTAAGGAAGAGGTGGGTTTTCCATCCCACGTCCTCATATTTTCTCCATGCTCATGAAGGTAAAACCATAGATTATCTCGGGGAGTGTACCCTCTCTCCTTAGCTGGGGGATGCCGGCTCCTGATAGCAGAGGCTCTCGTTTGTCCTGATGAGATATGGAAGATTCCTTCCTTAAATTCCTCTCTTAGCTTCTGGTGGCCCTCTTCAATCTTCTCTTCTAGGCTTCGGACATGTTCAACCAGTTTTGTTTCCACAGAGGAGATGTGGGCTTGTAGTAGGGTGGTAACAGTGTCTTCATAAATCCTGAGTTTACTAACCAATGCTCCCACCTTGTCTTCTCCCTCCCTCCATTGCAACATTGCTAAGTAATGGGAATATATTTCTGGCCCGAGCTGTGCAAACTTTAACCACATCTGGGAGGTGCACTGTACGCCGTCTGGACTTTTAGGGAATCTTTCGTCCTCTGAAAAGATTATCTCCAGTACAGCTAATTCTCTTGAGCATTGGATACCTTGTTCCATCGTCCTTGCTGCACATGGAGGTCCTCCTTACAAAGATATCTCTCCCTTACACTCGACAACAGTCGCTGCCAGAGGCTGTTTCCTGCCTCTTTACAATACTCTGATCAATGACCATATCTCAAGACAGAGATCCCAGTTGCCTTGCTTCGCTCCCATCTAGAATTGTATCATTAGCTGTGGCATCCCAGATTCAGAGCAGCCATATCAAAATGGACTCGTTTGCCTGTCACATGAACTCTCTCTGCAGCTCATGCAGATCACCCAGGTTAGGGACCGAGTGGATGATTTTCTGGTTCTGTTTCTTCTGCTGAGCATGAAGGTCCCGCCTCTTCCCCGTCATCCACTAAGCAAACTGATTTAGTCTTGGATGCTCTTTTCTGGACAGGGGCGACTGCTGTTGGTCCAGTTTGTCCTTCTGGCTCCACAACAGTTTGCGTGGACATCATGCTGGTTAATTTGCTTTGTTTTACCTCTGGCTCAGCTGTGGTTTGTGTGGACGCAGTACCTGTTGATTTGTTTCCTTTCTCCTCCTCCTTAAGGTGCTGTACCATACCAAGCAGCGACCGGTAGGCAGTGACCAGGGCCCAGCATGTTGCCGTAAGCTGCCCATCTCTGAAGCTGTCAGAGCACTTTCGTCTCACGTATCTTATTGCTCTCACAGGGTCCTGCAGTTGTTCAGGGGTGAATTTCCAGATCATTGGAGGAGAGAAGCTCTCCAAATACTGGCCCATGTCCTGCCACTTTCGATGCCACTTAGCATTATCCACTCCCAGAGCAGGCCTCCAGGCAACTTCCCTAGAAGCTGCCCTGGGCAGCTGCTGCAAATGACCCGTTATTAACAGTCCATCAGAAATCTCATACAGGGTGTAGAATACACAATTTTGGTTATACCCACATAGTGATAAACTGGTCCTGGCCCCTATAACTAGGACAATGGTTGAATTCCATCCATGGAAAACTTAATTTGTAGCCAGAGGTACAAAATAAGTACAGTGACATGGCTTGTTGGACTGCATTGAAGGATCTGTCTTAGATACTTAAAATCATAGGGAATTTTTAAACAATCTTTTGCTGCCTTAATTGAAAATAATTATAATAATGAAGTTGTAGGCTGAATTTTCTTGATCTCTCGAGGGTTTTAAAAAAGACATGACACTTCACTAGATTTGTTTTTCCTCTTCATAACTCTTAGTGGTAATGTTGTTTATCTGCAGATAATGTAGAACTGATAAAAGAATGAGGAAAAAAAGGTCAACTATTTCTTGATGTATATAAGTTTTAATTTTGAGAGAGTGTTATTTTCTGGATATATTTTTCTTCATTTTACTGTGAAATTGTTTGCTTCAAGGAGTTTTTCACAGCTGGGGTTTTGGAAATGATCCCTCAATATTTCTTTGGAAAAGAGGACTTGTGGAAGGCAAAGGTCACTCTTACAGCAAGTATTGTATATTAGTGGCTGAATGGTACGGGTTTTTTTTTATTTATATGGAAAAGGCATCAGGTATCAAGTAGTTAGAAGATTTATCTTGTGACTGTAATAGTATAGCAGAAGATAACATGGTACGATACAAATGCAGTCCTGTAGTGTCAAAAAATACCTCCAAATTCTCAGGTTCCAGAGCTTAATGTACGTACTTCTGACATCTCAGGAAGAAAAGAGGCTGGGTGGGGAATGGTGGGGTGCCTAGGAGCTGGAAGGGAGAACATGCCTGGGTGGAAATGTAAAGCAAACTGAATGTGAACTTTTGTCCAAACAGAAGTAACTGTGAAACTGGGCAGCACAATGGTTTAGCTGTAGGTGGGATTTACAATAGAACTGCCTGACCTTGGTGCCTGGCAGAGTTATGGAGCAGATTATCCTGTGTGAAATCACACAGCAGCTACAGGATGGACAAGGGATCAGACGCAGCCAGCACAGGTTTAGGAGGGACAGATCCTGTTTGACCAACCTGATCTCCTTTTATGATCAGGTGACCCACCTGGTGGATGAGGGAAAGGCTGTGGATGTGGTCTATCTGGACTTCAGCAAAGCCTTTGACACTGTCTCCCATAGTATACTCCTGGAAAAGCTGGCAGCCCACAGCTTGGACAGGAGCACTCTGTGCTGGGTTAGGAACTGGCTGTAGGGCCGGGCCCAGAGAGTGCTGGTGGACGGTGCTGCATCCAGTTGGCAGCCGGTCACCAGTGGTGTTCCCCAGGGGTCAGTGCTGGGCCCAGTCCTTTTTAACATCTTTGTCGATGATTTAGATGAGGGGATTGAGTCCATCATCAGCAAATTTGCAGATGACACCAAGTTGGGAGGGAGTGTCGACCTGCTGGAAGGCAGGAGGGCTCTGCAGAGGGATCTGGATAGACTGGAGAGATGGGCTGACTCCAATGGAATGAAGTTCAACAAGGCCAAGTGCCGGGTCCTGCACTTTGGCCACAACAACCCCCTGCAGCGCTACAGGCTGGGCACAGAGTGGCTGGAGAGCAGCCAGGCGGAAAGGGACCTGGGGGTGCTGATCGACAGGAGGCTGAACATGAGCCAGCAGTGTGCCCAGGTGGCCAAGAAGGCCAATGGCATCCTGGCCTGCATCAGGAACAGTGTGGCCAGCAGAAGCAGGGAAGTGATCCTTCCCCTGTACTCTGCACTGGTGAGGCAACACCTCGAGTATTGTGTTCAGCTCTGGGCCCCTCAGTTCAGGAAGGATATTGAGGTGCTGGAGCAGGTCCAGAGAAGAGCAACGAGGCTGGTGAAGGGACTTGAGCACAAGTCCTATGAGGAGAGGCTGAGGGAGCTGGGGAGGCTGAGAGGCTGTTTAGTCTGGAGAAGAGAAGGCTTAGAGGCGACCTCATCACTCTCTTCAACTACCCGAAGGGAGGTTATAGCCAGGCGGGGGTTGGTCTGTTCTCCCAGGCAACCAACAATAGGACAAGGGGACATGGGCTCAAGCTCTGCCAGGGGAGGTTTAGGTTAGATGTTAGGAAGAAATTCTTTACAGAGAGGGTTATCAGGCATTGGAACGGCCTACCCAGATTGCTGGTGGATTCACCATCCCTGGAAGTTTTTAAAAAGAGATTGGACGTGGCCCTTAGTGCCATGATATAGTAATTGGAGTTGGATCAGGGGTTGGACTTGATGATCTTGGAGGTCTTTTCCAACCCAACCTATTCTATGATTCTATGCTTTGGTGCGTTACTACCCTGGGAAGGAAAATGTGTGGGTATACCCTGCCTGCCTCTTCTAACGTGGTCTGACTCTATGCAGACCAGAATGCCCACCCTACAAAAGGCACAATTATAAAATATCTGAACATTTTTCATCTAATAATAAAAGCATAATAATTAGATTATTTGCTTCACTATATTGCACTTTTATTGAGCATTCTCTGAAAAAAAGCAAAGAGATTCCTGCAGCACTTTGTCATATGAGAATGCTTATCTTGGAGGTCACTGGGACTGCTTGTATATTCTAGTGTTTGCAGGCTCAAGCTGTGTTTTTTGCAGAATGTTTTGAAAGATATCAGGAATATTACCCCAATTCTGTGGTTTGAAAAATAAATGTGAAGTCATTAGTTACAAAAATTACTATTCTTAGAAATTATGTTTCATTACTCCTTTTGGAAATTAAACTACAGCCTGCAGTAACATTAGCTTGTCTGATTCACTCTGTTAATGTTTGCATTAATATATTAAAACACCTCTGTTAATCCCTAGCAACACTACCCAGTCTACATGCTTATTATGTATTTTATCTAAGTAGTCTTCTGAGTGTCAAACTGAGAGCTTTCATTATGACAAAATTACATT